TCTGCTCACTGCCAGTAACTCAGAGCCTGTGGGATAATGTGAGCATCCCACATACACAATATTTATTGCATATATATTTTCAAGCCAAATCCTCTTGCATCCAACATAGTGGGCAGTGGTGTGCAAAATCCATGCCTGTCTGGTTTTGCTCATTGTATCCCATTTCTAAGGCCCCATAGGCTGACAGCCACATATGTAGTTGTTAGGGATATTCATCCTCCTCACTGCCGATATCAAATTATACTTGTAAGAAATCTGCGTTGAGATTCCTTTATGTTGGCCACTGTTCATCTACTCAGGGAAGCTTGTGAGCAGCAAACGTGGTTATGAATGTACTAGGCACTAAAGCAAGCTTTACCTAAAACAGCTGCACATTCCTGTGCTTGACCAAAGCTGCCTCTCAACATTCATCAGTGCCATTTAGAGAGCGTTCAAAGGGCTCACTTTGTCTCAAGTGGGTTATTGCCATGTATATTTTCACGATTCTTAAAATTCAGCTACACGGAGTTGTCTGTGCGTTGCTGAGTACCTTCCAGCCCCACATTTGTTTGAAAAGTTCTTAATTTTTTTATGCATTACATTTTGTTCCCAGCTTGAATTTCTTGTAAGATTTGAATTGGTATAGACCTTATCAGCATCGCTTCTTCCACTTTCTGTCTTTCCTCTAAGCTAATTTTATTTCTTTTCTGTTTCTTAAATTCCCATTCTTCTAACTGCCATCATTTGTCCAAAGAAGAAGCTCTTCAGATAGCAGTATGTTACGCTATAGAATATGCAAGTCCACAAAGGTTGCAGGTCTAGCAGCAAAGAGACATGTGGGACTCTTGTATATGCAACAGAATTGGACTGAGTATATGCTCAGCTATTTTTTTTAGGATTTCCAAACCCAGGGCTGTTGGAAGGTCTGAATACACTTTTCATTCATGAAATGTTTTTCTTAAAAACACATGTAATGTGCGTGATACAGTTGGAGCCAAAAATATAATGTTTTCAAGACACATGAAACATTGGAGAAGTGACCGCATAAGCTTTCCTGTACTATCTTGCTAATATGTTAGTGGCTGCTCCCAAAAATTATTTCCCTGATGAAAATCAGAAGGTAAAACAGCTGTTTCATCAATTATCTACTAAGATTATTCAAATAAATGGGGAATAACTCTTGTTGTTACTGTGTGGATGTTCTTGGCTCTTTCTTTTTGCTGGGTAAACAACGCATGGCCTTGTTCAGATATGTAGAGGCCAAGCTTCTTTTTCAACTTCTTAGACAAATGTTGACCGACGTTGTTAAAGAAGTGAGGAAGAACAGAGTTTGACTTTGTGAGTCTCTGCAGTATCTGCAGTAGTGTCACTACTGAATTCAGGAGACTGAATTTTTTGTGTAAAAGTGCCAGCTGAGCACTTCCTGCAGAGCTTCATAGAAGAAACCATCCAGTCTGCAAGAGTCTAGGAGGATATGGGAAATTCTCAAAGGAGAGAGACTTTGAAGGAGCTAAAATCTCTTCAGAGAAATTTAAGACAAAGAACACTGTCTCTATTGCCTTCCTTTTGATATTTTGTTCAGTTTGCAACACTGCCATCACATATAGAAAGTTATTTGGTTTATGCCAGATAAAGTATAAGATGTATAAAATGGACCGCAGATAGTTTTCTGTTGTCCATGCCAAATGAGAACCTTTGCAGCTGGAGTGCATTGGAAAGGAAGAAGTTCATCTCTTTTGTTTTCCTCTCACACAAAAGGAACTTAAAACATGAGGAGTTAGCTGTCTGTGAGGGGGAATGAACCCCACCAGCCCCTCTTTAATGGGCAACATTGATCGATAACCACAGGGAAACGTTGGCTCCTTTTCACTGGCAGGTTTGCCCAGGACATTTCACTGAATATGCCTGTTAAGCAGGTACACTGAGAGCTGATGATCAGCCTGCTGTCCTCACACCACCCTCAAAACTGGTGTCACTTGCAAACTCCTAATTCCTTCTCTTCCAGACATGCTCCGGCTGCGGCACGACTGAGCACACAGTGCATGCATTCTTACAGATTTATCTGCATTGCTTGTGGTGGGACTGTAGTCCTTTGTGTGTGTTTTGGAATTTTACTCCAACCTTAAAATCTTAAATTTCAAGGTTAGTCTTCTTAGCAATTACAGGAAGCTCCAGCATGTACTGCTGAAACCTATCTGCTCCAAGGTAAGCTTTAAACTTTCAAAACAAGGTGGCTGTGGAAGTGCAAAACACTACCAAGTAGATGCAGTTACTGTATACAGGAAGCCAGGATCAAGTTCAAATAAAAGCTCTGGGCACCAGTTCTTAGCAACTGATTTTAAAGCAGTTGTAATCTTCAAAGCTATCTATTTATCTACAGCAGAGGCCCTGGGTATTATATACCTAATGAGTTAGACCATTTGAGCAACCTTCTTTCACATTAAAAAGGTACTTCAACTTTTTCCTTCGCCAGATTAACTGTTGAGTCCATTTCTGACAGATGAGATCAGCTACATGGAATTTTAACACTGTGTTTCTTTTAAAATGTGTCTCTGTTTATTTCCTTGTGCCCAAATGGATGTTTTAAGGCTGTTGAGGTTCAAAATCAGTTGTGTAATATTACTGTTACTGGTTTGGGTCTGTTTTTCAGTAACTACTGGTCACATACATAAAGCACGAATAAATATGTAAAAGTAGAAATAAAGACACAATCTTGTTCCCAAAGATTTTCTCAAAGAATGTAAACGTCAGCTTCATTAAATGTTGGAACAAGCTATACAGCTGAATATGCACAAAACCAGAGGTTAATTCTATCATTCACCTACATTTTCAGGAGCGTACTAGCGTGGGCCAAGCTGTGAACTTCTTATTTCTATTGGCAAGAAGTTACCAGTGCAAGTGCCTGTGAAGTAACGTGTTTGTTGAAGGAGGCATTAGTTACTGTAAGGGTGGCAGAACCACAGCATATGGAAACTACCCGAACATGTAGCACCGGTGAACACGTCTCAGAAGTGTCTTCAGGATGTTTCTGAGGTGATCTGAAGGTGATTCTGAAGTGACTGAGGGTGTCAGTGTGATCAATAAGGCATTCCTGGAATTTTATTAAGTATTAATTTTATTAACTGAGGGTGTCAGTGTGATCAATAAGGCATTCCTGGAATTTTATTAAGTGTGCTTACTATGGTCTTGGTAATATAAAGAAAAGGAAAACAAGAAATTTTAGGAAACATACCTGAAAGTATCTGATTTACTCTGTGAAAATGTCACACAGATTTATTAAATACATCCTTTGCTAAAGTATCTTTATACTGAATTTCTTAATCTTGAAAGAATGAAGGAATTTGGCTTGACGTTCAACCAAATACTGCTGGCATTCCTGGAATGAAGAGTTTATTCTCCTTCATTGGCCACTTTTTTAATACCTTAAAATGTATTTTCATGGTAAATCCAGCACCGAGGACAGGGACTTAAAACTGTCTATTCCTTTAATTAGGAATTATCCGTACCACAATAAAAACACGACTTAAAATAGAGCAATAATAACAAAGTATGAATGAATGCTAATCCCAGTATAACTGTGAGGGAACCACTAATCTATGGCTAAGGCTGAACTGATGAGAACTGCACTGAGAGCTGAGCAGCAGTCACCAGTGGAAGACAGCCTGAGACCCCGGAGCAGATAGGAAACATAACTGTGGTTGATTGAGTTCCAGTCTGTGGGGGAGAGGCAGGATTTTGCAATCATGTTCTTTAGAGACTGCCTCAGGGAACGTGCTTCTGGCCAGTGACTCCACGGTCTCTGCTGGATTCCAGAGCATTCTGTGGCATATTATATATATATATATATATACATATATATATATGTATACACACATACACACACATAACACCACCACTTCTTTATACGATCAAGTTTTCCTCTCTGTGCCATGTAAGTTCATGTAGTCTACTGCACAGAACATGGTAATGAAGTTGGCTCAATAACAAAGGTTTCCTCAGAACCAGTCAGACTACAAACAGTGCTGTATTGTAACTGACTATGATATATCTTTCAGGTACGGGTGCGATACTGTCCCCAGTGTTGGATGGCAGCAGGTTGGAGCACCTTGGAGGTCGGCTTCCTGGTGGAGAAGAAATCATTGCTGCACATTCCAGGTGTAAGTACAGCTCAGGCAACATACACAGAATCACAGAACAGTAGGTATTGGAAGGGACCTTTGGAGAACATCTAGTCCAATCCCCTGCCTGAACAGGTCCACCTGTTGCAGGTTGCACAGGATGGTGTCCAGGTGGGTTTTGAACGTCTCCAGAGAAGGAGACTCCACAGCCTCTCTGGGCAGCCTGTTCCAGTGTTCTACCACCCTAAAAGTAAAGAAGTTCCTCCTGATGTTGAGATGGAATTTCCTGTGTTCCCCTTTGTGCCCGCTGCCCCTTGCCCTGTCCCCGGGCACCACTGAGCAGAATCTGGCACCATCCTCTGGCCACCTGCCCTTCAGATAAGCTTTGATGAGATCCCCTCTCAGCCTTCTCTTCTCCAGGCTACACACGTGTGACCATTTCCAGGGGGAATCTCACACCAGCCCCAATCCCGGATCCCCGCGCACACCTGCTAACGTGTATTAATCAACTCCTAATTAACCTGTCCTCCCGTGACCAAGTTGACAGGCTAGAACCTTGAGAGATGCCGTCTAACAGCACCACCTGCTGACACCTGCCCCCGCTCTATGGCAGGGCGGTCTACCCGGCCCACTTTGCCGGAATATCGCTTTTTATTCCGCAGAGCTGCTGTTCGGGCGGGGAGGCGGCAGTAGCCGGGTCGTGTTCGGCCTTTACCCCGGTGCTCCGGGGAGCAGAAACCCGATCGGGAGCTCGTTGCCTCCTTCCCCTCCGCCGCCGGAGGGCTGAGCTCCATGGGGAGTGCGGGGCAGGCGATGCGGGGCTGGAGCCGGGGCCGAGGCCTCCCCGGCGGCCCTCCCTCAGCCGCCGGGCGGAACGCGCCGCGCGGGGGCCGCGTTGCGCGGGGAAGGGTGCGCGGCGGCACCGGGCCGGCGGCTGCGGGAGGGCCGCCATGGCGGTGGACATCACCCTGCTCTTCAAAGCCAGCGTGAAGACGGTGAAGACCCGCAACAAGGCGCTGGGGGTGGCGGCGGGGGACAGCGCTAGGGACGAGCTGTTCAAGCGGGGCGCCGCCCGCTCCAAGAGCGACTTCACCAGCCGGGCCCGGGAAGTGGTGAGTGCAGCGGCGGGCAGCCCAGCTCCTCCCCCTCCTCTTCCTCCCCCTCACCCCGGGCCGCCGCGTCGGGCTCTCCCCGGGGGCGAGCGAGCGGGCCCCGGAGTCGCCCGCAAACAACCCCGGGGCAGCTCTTTCCCACACGGCTGTGGGCTGGGAGAAAGGAGGGGGGGGAGCGCGGCGTGAGAGCCGGGACCCGGCGGCTGGTGTGGCGGCTGGGGCGGAAGGCTCCGAGCCCGCCTGTCCACCCGCGTTACCCCCCTCACCCCCGGCGCCGCTCCGGGCGGGCGGGGGCCCGCTGCACCGCGGGGGCAGGCAGGGCCGGCCCGTTCCGGGGGGGTTCGTGCTGGCTGCCTCCCCTGTCTGACAGTCCACATCGGGCACAACCCTTCCCTTGGCATCTGCAGGGGTGTTTCCTCATGCCAGGTGCCACGTAGGAGAGCGCTGCCACAGCAGGCAACGAGCATCTGCAGCCTTGTGCTGTACATCCTGTCTGCAGAAGTTATTTATCTTTTTCACACAGTGTGTCCGTGAAGTGTCAATTTATACAAATTGCACATAAAAAAAGGTAATCGGAACGTTTTGAGGCTTGAAAAGGCAAGCAGTGATAAGCTAAGGAACTGCAGACCTGAAGGCCGACCGGCATTAGTTGTAGCCCTCAGCCCACGGTTGTGCTGTAAAAGCAAATCTGTTGCAGGTTGTTTTGCTCTGTACTGAGTAAAAGGCAGGGGGAAAAGTCTAACACCAAAGAAGGGGTTGAATAACGCCTGTTCAATAAAGCAGTGAACCATATTTTGAAAAACCAGAAGAAAAAGACTGCTCAGTACACTCTCTGAGGAGATGGGCTTACAGAATGCATATGCCAAGCTTAGGACTAAACCAAGAATGCACAAGTAACCTTGTTCTGTGATTTTCCTAATTTTAGATTAATTTAGTTTTAAAGCGTAGATACTAATGTCACATTTCTGTGCTCATTGTACTTTTCCTAGTTCTGAAAGAGAGTACTTAAAATCTAATGAGTTTTCTAACAGTTGGTTTGATGTTCAGTAGCTCGGTGATTGCTTTGAGGCCTAAGCAGAGGGTATGAAGTTGGGTACCTGTTAAATGAACATATAATTATTAACCATTGCAAAAAGTTGATTTAAGTGACTTGTCGACTGGAGTTCTGTGGTAGGGGTCTATCTGCAGTGATCCAACCAGTTCATAAAACTACCTTCAAGATTTTTGTGCGTGAGATCTACCTTTTTCCCCTACTGCATCTCCTGATTTTAACTGAAGATATTCCACATTCTGCAGTGTTACAGAGAACATGCTTCTTCAGTCTCACCCCAGAACAGGGTGGCCTTTTTAATTTTTAACACAACTTATGTGTGTGTAAATTCTTAGAATTCTAAAAAGGATTGAAACTTTATCACAGGGCATCATGTTTACACTTATCTGCATCATAAACACAGCTGCAGCTATTGAATCTACGATTCAGAACTTCAGCACCTGGGCTAATGCTGAGAGCAGGTTGTTACCCTCTAAGGATTTAGCACTACACACTGTTTGGATACTTTGCCAAAGTGGTTCACAGTTATTTGAGGTAGCAGAGGAAGTCTGAGAGTCTTAAGTTCCACTCTCGATACTCTTATAGCCGCAGGCTTCTGTTCATTCCCTCTGAAGCTTTTTACCTTCTGCCCCGTTGCCTCCAGTATTGTCTCTGCGCTTTGGTTCCTCCTCGTCAGTTTCAGTGTCTATATTCCAAATAATTTGTAGCCTTAGAGAGCTCACACCCGCTTCTTCCTCCCTTCTAGTCTTTTCTCTCTCTTTGGCTTTTACCTCCTCCTGCCTTAGTCCTTTGTTTCCCTCTGTCCACAGCTACTATTTCCTGCAGGCCCCAGTCTTATCTCTGAACTCCTTATGCTTTCTGAGTTTCCTTGGGGCACTGTCCAGGCAACAGAAAGAACAGCAAAGATGTAGATACAAGTATCTTGGTTTTATCCGTCTACTTCACTTGAAACTCTGGTAATTAAACATGTTGCTGAAGCACGTCTGAACAGGATTTCTATCAACATGCTGCTCAGTGAGCAGGAGTGAGATGGATTGGCCTTGCTCTGCTCCTGTAACTCAGTTACGTTTGTGACAGCGAGCCAACAACCTGCCGGACCAGAGGCCACCATTCTAATGTGTGAATAAAAGATTGAAACTGCAGCTGGAGGAATAAGCTTTGTAGTAAAATAAATTATTATATTAATTGCTTGTTTCAGCCAAATACAGTTTGGTTTGATTATGTATGTGTCAAACCCTCTTTCAAACACTATGTTGTAGCCTCACAATTAGAAATTTAGCTGTTTCTACCAAGACTATGCAATTTAGCTTGCAGATGAAGTCTCCAATAGATGCATTAATTCTTTAACATACTAGTTTTTTAAAAAGCTCCCCCAAAGCTAGTGAATTTTCCCATGTCTATGTACAGTTTTTTGTTTATTGTTTAGTCTGTGGAGCATATAAAATATTGAACTAATGTTGTCTTTGAAATGTCATGAAAGATACTAGTCAGAATCCATATAGGGTAACAGTGGAGACCATGAATAAACTACACATAGTTACCACTTTCATTAAGCCTGATTTGCTTGCAGAATAAAATAGAATAATTTCAGTTGGAAGGGACCTACAAGGATCTTGATCATTGAGCCCATTGAGCCTGATCACTTCAGGGCTGACCAAAACTTAAAGCATGTTGTTAAGGGCATCATCCAAATGCCTCTTAAACACTGACAGACTTGAGGCATTATTCACCTATCTAGGAAGCCCCTTTGAATGCTTGACCACCCTCTCTGTAAAAAAATGCTTCCTGGTGTCCAGTCTGAACCTCCCCTGGTGCAGGTTTGAACCATTCCCATGCCTCCTCTCTCTGGATCCCAGGGAGAAAAGATCAGCATCTCCTTCCCCACTTCACGTCCTCAGGAAGCTGAGGGGAGTAGTGAGGTTGCCCCTCAGCCTCATTTTCTCCAAACTAGAGAAACCCAAAATCCTCAGTTGAAGATTTCCGTTTGACGTGCAGATGTGGAGATATTGAAGTTCTTACGCAGCATCTACACACAGACCTACTCCTTTCAGTGCTATGTTCTAGGTGGCTTTGCCCAGCTTCTTGCAGGTAGAGCTGTGCTGACTTTGGTTGCTCTCCAGGCTGTGTGAGCAGCCCTGGTCCAAACATCTGGCGGCACAGCTGGAGTGTGGGGCTGGGTGGGTGCTCAGCCCTGCCTGGGGCAGCCCCACAGCTGTAAGATCAGAATTCCCCTTCCTAGCCCATCCCACTGAGGTTTTATATATCACATTATTAATGTGTTTGAGCACTTGGCTGAACTGTATTAAGCAATGTAACTCTCTATCAGACATAGTGTATTTTTTTCCATCTTTCCCCCTCCACCATCCTTCAGAGGACTATGAGTTTTGCTGTAGCATCTGAGGATTGTGGAAGTGTTAACTTTTTTTTTTTTTTTTTTTCCTCTTAGACTCTAACTGATCTTTAAGAAGGAAGATTGAAGGTGCTTAGTGTTTGGAGAAGAAGCTGTCAAAGTTGTAATAGTTTCTTATTTTCTGTTGAAAGTAATGTTTCTTTCCTAAGAAAGCTCTGTGTCTGCACAGTGTATTTATGGTAGTTTCATTGCACCTGGGAGATACAGTTATGAAGTCCTAGTTTACATTCTCAAACTTAATGTGATTTTTAAGTGGATTGAAGTAGGTACGGAAAATGTTGAGTATAAGAGCTTTGACTTGAATCAATATTGTGTGGGATAACTGGTTTAGAGATGGGAGGATACATTTTGTGCGCTCTTGGTATTTTGTGTTAGTCACAAAAAGTACTTTGGCATTCTGTATTAATTTGTATTTTTTCAAAGCTGTCTGTTTCATGCTCAGGTGCACTGTGTTGCTGCAGTCTGTGGGGAGCTGATGAAGCTTTTTGTATTTGGGACTAAGTTGGTAACACCAGGGTGTTACGAGGTTATCTAAAACCCTTGTAATGTTAGTTGCGGAGATTGCTGTTGCTGGTGATATTGTTAAACTGTGACAAAACTGATCTGTTTGCCTCTTCTGTATCAAAGACAAATGTTATGGCCATGAACTTTGGAAAGTATTTTCTTTGCCCCAGCATTGACCCATCACTGTTTATTTGGTTTGGGTTTTTTTGGTCTGTCAGCTGTGTTGTACAACCATTGGGTTGTCTGATACGTAATGAAAGATGACTAGTGCTGTGTGTGCGGTGAATGTTTTTTGGCATCTCTCCACCTGTTCACCAGTTACATATTCATTAGGACCAGGTAAGCAATGGTTGTTGAGGCACTCCCTACAAGAAGGCTACAGTAACAGTGACAGATTTTCTTGTGCTTGCAATCCATAAAAGACTGTTAGAATTCATTAAAACAAAAGCAGATATTTTTTTTTCCTTAGACTTTTACAGTGACACAGCTACTTAAAATGTAGTATAGAGCGATATTAAAGTCTGCATTTCATCGTACTTTTACTGGCTTACATAGTTGTGGTGGGTTAAACAAGGCTGGATGCCAGGTGCCCATCAAAACTGCTCTATCACCCCCCTCCTCAGCTGGAGAGAGGGGTCCTCCACAAACCTCCCCAACCTACGTCCTTTCCATGGGCTGCAGTTCTTCACGACTTGCTCCAGCCTGGGTCCCTTCCATGGGGTGCAGTCCTTAAGGAACAGACTGCTCCAAAGTAGTTCCCTGCAGGGTCACAAGTCCCGCCAGTGAACCTGTTGCAGTGTGGGTTCCTCTGTCCGTGGCTCCACAGGTCCTGCCAAGCGCCTTCTCCAGTGGAGGCTTCCCACAGGGTCACAGACTCCTTTAGCCATCCACATGCTCTGGCATGGGGTCCTCTGTGGGTTACAGATGGATATCTGCTCCACTGTGGACATCTGTGGGCTGCAGGGGGACAGCCTGCCTCACCATGGTCTTCACCACAGACTGCAGGGGAATCTCTGTTCTGACACCTGGAACACT